GCATACTTGATATTAAAATAATAATAATAATAAAATTACAAATCCAAAGACAACTGCATGAGCATCGAGTTTTCCTTAAAATATTGCATAAGTATTCTTTTCGTGAAGTATTTCTCTCGAAATTGGGCGCAGTTCTCGTATTTTCCTGTTATATAAAAGACAGCAAAATAAATAATTTCTATCAATAGCGGTAGGTAAGGATTTTTCAGCTGAATCTTGAAATTTGAGAAAATTATCAACTCACTGATATTAAAATTTAGTTTTGAAAGGAGGAGACGTTATTTAATAGGGAAAGGAATTGGAGTATGGGGGCTAATTCTAATGTATACCGGAAATTCTGGTGTGGGCTGGGATTAAGAAATACTGTACTCAAGTGTGCCTGAAGGCTTTATATCTGCACGGGTTGTATAAGAGCAATACGAAAAAGAGGGTTTTCTCCCCAAAACTCGCCATTTGAATCTCAGCGGTACATGATTGAGTGAACTTATTAAGAAACACATTCATTAGAAAATGTCTGTCTGAATCCTCGCAATTTTTTATCTTCAAGAAATTCAGCGCCAGAAATAATTGCTTCAGAATTTCTCCAGAGCTGAGGATTCTATTCAAATCGCAGAAACTGTCCTCTGGACACATTTTAGGGCGTCATATTCGGCGATTTTTTGAAGGAGTTCCTCGGCGGCAGATCCGCGTTGGCACGGAGTAGTACCGCTTCGCACACTCCATTCTACTTCCAGCAGGAATGCGGCTCGAAGCGAAATGAAGACCGTATGAGAACGAAACAAGGCAACGATAATATAATGGCGGGAAAGAAAAGCCAGTAGATGGAGACCGGAGATTTCCTTGATCGATGGGATGATGCTGAGGATTGAGTTATTTTCGCAGCCGTTCGGAAGAGTCGGTGTTGCAGCAGTGCAGGAAGATCACTGGCCGCGAGTCTCGTCGGAAGCTATACTGGAAAACAAAATACCCGCAACAGGTAACCCGGACAGATGAAAGGGTTAATGCCTCGTGCACCGAAACAAGGTCTTGTTTTGGGGCACGAATAATAGGGGATTTTTTTAAAATTGTACTTGGCAATCTTTTTCTGTCAAGCAGTACAAGCACCAAACGAACTGAGCATTCACTCCCGTTCTTGGAATCGACGCATCATTTTCTCAGATCGAATGAGCTAAATCGTTAGCATAAATCTGAACTACAATGCCACATGTGTCCAAAAGGTAATCCTATCTTATGTTTTCCCCAGACAACTAGAAGATTGAATTGTATTATTAGGCCCTGGCTTATTTTCAGAAGTAAAATATAAGAATTGAAGTCCTGCATTAATTTTTATGTTGAAAATTTTAGTCTGAGACAATACCTGCTAATTGGTGGCAAAATAATTTCAGGAAGGCCGATGGGGGTGTATAGGCAAAAAAATGCATGCACAGGTGATTGTAACATCATCTTGATTATTAAAATGGATTATTATGGCCTGCTGTACAGAATTGGGCTTAATTTAGCCTGAGGCTTAACTTCATTGCCGAGCTTATATTCTGAACTAATTCTGGAATACAGTATTAATCCATGGCTGCTGGATCTTGTTCTGTATAAAAAATTAAAAAACGCTGCATCCTAAAATGCTTAATTATAAAATTATACTCGGGGCGAAGCATACACGAATTAAAATCTAGAAAAACTCTAAGCGGATGATATGTACTGTACTAGAATAAATTACAGTTCTGCACAATACGTGAGATACAGTATATTGATTGCCGTAACGATTATTGTCAATGAAATCACCCACAGAAACAAAATTACTCATTCTAAATATGCGAACTCATTCTTGGAAAATAATCTATACTTTCAGTATTACGCTTCACATTTTATGGTTTCAAAGCAACTATTTTCTGAATAAACTCCCACAAAAATTGAAACCAATGGTCGTCAAATTTCACACGATTATCTTCCGCCTAATGCTTTTATAAATCCATTCACATTAGAGTACTTTTTACATACTGTACAATTCGTTGTCCTAGAAAGATCAGTGTATTGAAACTCGATATGTTTTGCGCTCGTGAAATCAATCTATTCTAAGGTAATCAGAGGAGAATGTTTATCGTGTTGGATTCGCTCGCGGCGAGTTAATGATCCGTTGGATTCTTGGGTAAGTTCAAACAAAGTATTGGTGCGTTTTTAAAAACTGTACACATGTCGCCCACTTGAAAGCACAAATGTATGATTTCTTCGATTGCTTGTAAAACTGCAATATATACAGTACATGTACTGTAATATAAAAAATGCAAGACTAGTTTATTTTTTGCGCTATATTATAACCCAAAAGTTTGAATGGGGGATGATGTATTTCGTTCTTGAAAACCCCCAGCTTGAATAAGTGATGAGATATTTTTCTTTAAAAGAATGCCAACTTCTAGCTGACTTTCTGTGTCTTCCAAGGTAATGAGCAACGTAAATACAAAATAATATTAGAGATGCTCGTGTGGTTCATGTAACATGATGCGATACATCAAATCAGGCTGTTAAATGACCTCATCGAAAGGATTAATATCGCGTTGTAAATGAGAAAGCGCAATCTACTCCCCGGAGAGCAGAAGGTAATTAGTTTCGATAAGGGCTTTGTTGGTCAATTCCTATACATACACTAAAGCGATGAAAGCGCCCCTCCCTCATCCGATGGCTGTGTCATGTTATACTGTATATGCAACAAAAAGTCACAGAACGATCCCTCATATTCGTTTGATCGCATGCTAATCAATAATAATGATGCCAACTTTGACAAATTCATATGTACAGTATATATAATATAATATTCAATACATTGGATGAAGAATCCGAAAGGATCTGATTAATCGTTTTGATTTCATAATATGAATTTGTTTTGTTGGGTTCAGCATCATTCTATTCCAGTGGACGTGGTGCCCAACTCAACAGTATTCAAGGACCACATTGAAAAGCGAGCCTTCTCCGTGGTCCACAATGGCAGATATAAATTAACTCTACTATTTTCAAAATTGTTGACTCCTTTGAATTTAAAAAATTTGAAAACTCCCTTGATTTTTTCACCAAGCTTGGCAATTTCAGTTTTCTCAAGTTTTTGTGTTTGGACTTAAAATGCCAGTAAAGATCATATTCCTTGGAAACTGAAAACTTTCATAACAAACAAGGCAAAGTATTTTGCCATTGAAGATTGTAAATAAATATTTCCCCATTCTTAATTACTCTGCATTCATTGTCAATCTTTTTTATGTGTCACTGCTTTCAGCCATTTTTATTCATGCTTGTGTTGAATGAGAAATTATTTACTAATTATTGTTTACCCTTCAATCACTCAGCATTTTTTCATTATCACTCCAGCCCTATGTGTGCTCTGCTGTATTTGCAAAAAATTCTCTTTTTAAAGAGCATTTTTCTTCATCCTTACTCCAAATTTCCCAGCACAAAAAATCAAAATTCCTAAAAATTATGAAAAACTAACAACATAATGCTCAGTTCAGCACAAATATATAATGGTACAATACATTGTACTCCCAATTAGTTCTCTTAAAAAATCAGGGAGTGTGCAACCTTGAATTGGATGGATGCTTTTTCTCCTTTGTACATGAGACATTTGCTCTCAAAATGGGACCGAAAATTCTGTCTGCTTCCAGAAATACTATGAATCACTAAATTATTTGTGTGTATTTTGTATGTAGACGGCAAGGATTGAGAAAATATTAGGAGTTTCTCAGAACAAAACAGTGAAAATACTTCATAAAATTTGCAGAAAATGCTAATTTTGAATTTTTGCGATATATTTATTGTATAAGCTAAGGTAATTTTCTGTGTATGATCCGCAGGCCAGTTTGAAGGCCTCCACATCTCTGTACAGTACATACATGTCTGAGCTCATCAACTACAGTACAGTACAGTAATTATCTTGGTCCAAGCCGCTGCATATGCAGTATGTATAGGGACATCTTTGCCGCCTCTTAATTCTAGTTGCAAAGATTATCTTCTTGTGGTTCAATTTTTGGACTTCCGAATTTAGCGTAATGTTTTTGATTGTGTTAACTACCTGACTACAGTACTCAGAGCACTCATTCATTCAGCACTCAACGAACTGTCAAGGGATAGGTACAGTATTTTGTTCGTTTTTGTTTAAATGGGGAAACCAATTTATAGACGCCGCCGTACAAGTTCGTCCAGTCACTTTGCCTACATAGAAGTCTTGTCAGCCCTTGAGGATGCTTCGTGCTTGGCGGATGAAAGCGTGGGGTATTTGTACAAACTATGGCAAGGCCAAAGTCTCTGCTTTTTGCACTCGATTTTAAAGGAAACGGATTCAAGTTATCCTGCACCTGTACACATTCTATGAGGGATTACATTAGTTGTGCTGCGAGTTAATTGCCAGGCAGTTACTTTTCGGAGGGTGCGGAGTGCCACACGATTTTGTTCGTGTGGCACTGAGAATTGCCTTTTGGGAATTGCCTTGTCGGTTGAGGAAAGAATCCTGAGCATTTCCACGGATCTTGAAATATATTTGAATCGCGACGCATTAGAGGAAAGGAAAACGTTGACGGAGAGAGTACGAGTGGGAAAACTTGACGGCGCTCGGTGAAACGACAGTGAGGTTTCAAATGGGCTGGCTAAAGTTTCTAAGTAGGGTCATTCTAGCCCTGAATCACTGTCGACCTTCTGGACGCCGTCCTTTGTGCTTTTCAATTTTTTGTAGGTTCATATTTTGGACTAGTACTTTGATCCACGCGTTTTGACCTAACTGTGAACTTCACGTGAGTAGAAAGCCTGCGATGTGTATTGCCGTAGGTTTTAGTTATGAGAAATTCGCGTGGATGTTGAGTTACTCCAGTTTCATATTGTGATTCTGATAATTTTTCATCCCCCGCGTGTGAAAGACGACCCTTGATTCCTCGGAATGTGTATATGTGCTTCACTCAAGGTTCAGTTGAACTAGCATGTGTCTCATTATGCGTATGCGAGTAGCTTGCTGGAAATAACTTCCGGATAGAACGAATTTTCTGACCAGGTAACGAGAGTGCTGTTGGTTACTAAAATTACAGTACAATTCGATAGGGGGCTGTGTTCCGTGTAATCTAAATTCTCCCCTGAAGTTGGTCTTATAAGTTGGTGTGATCCAATCGCGACGAGTGGCTTTCCTTTGAATCATGTCGACACCTGCTCGAAGAAGGCTTATGCGAGATTTCAAGAAGTGAGCTTGACATTGATATTGCTTATGGCGTGATCAAATTTAAATGTGAATTTTGCTGTTAGGTTGCAAGAAGACCCACCAGCTGGCATCAGTGCCGCTCCTACTGACAATAACATCATGATATGGAACGCTGTGATCTTCGGGTATGACCTGATTTTTCTGTTCTGTAATAAAAACAATCCAGGATTTTTCTCTCTCCTGACCAGCCCTCACGATACGCCATTCGAGGATGGTACGTTCAAGTTGACGATGGAATTCACCGAAGAATACCCAAACAAGCCTCCGAATGTGCGTTTTGTGTCAAAGATGTTCCATCCCAACGTCTATGCGGATGGTGGAATCTGTCTTGATATCCTACAAAATCGCTGGAGCCCAACGTATGATGTTTCTGCGATACTCACGTCTATTCAGGTAAGCCGATTATGATCACAATGTTTGGAGTTCCGTATTTTCACGAGGTCTTCTTTAGTCGCTGTTGGACGAGCCTAACCCGAATTCACCTGCGAATTCACTTGCGGCGCAACTTTACCAGGAAAACCGCCGAGAGTACGAAAAACGAGTGGCTGCGATCGTGGAACAGTCGTGGTTGAACTTCGCCGACGAGGACAATGAAGGCGAAGAGAAAAAATTTGAAACATCTGCCGCACCTGTGGAAGATAGATCATCTTAGCCCTGTTGACATGCTTTTCCTGTAAAAGGGAATACTAAAATCAACTTTAGCTATTAGCGAATTATGCGCACCGTCTCATGGCCGTTCGTTCTTTTCTTCCCCGATTTCTAGGAGGGCTGCATGAAAGTTCTAGAGAAATTTTTTTGGTGATACGTGAGCGAATTATCATCAACTAAACCACTCGAGTCGTGATATTTCTTTCGCTTACAAGTCGTCAGAAAGCGCGCAGTAATTGTAACAGCAGATTCTGATTTGATTTCTTTAACGCTAGATGTGCAACAGGATCCTTTGTGGAACCGAGTCCTCGAATGTTTGAACGGCGTGTGTGATTTCCTCGAGAAGCGGTTTTATGCAGCTTAATGAATCGCTCGTTGCTTCTGATTTCCCTTCTGCTAGTCAGGAGTAATCGAGGCCCTTGTGCGTATGTTTTCTATCTCGATGTACAATTCCGCTGAATTTTGTTTTTTGTTTTCGGCGAAGGATTTTGTGTGGGGTGCGACGCACAGTAGCTTTGAGTGGTTTCCATGTCGCCTTCTCCTATTAATTTGCGTTGATGCGGGAGATTTTGGATGGCTGGACAGACTTCAAGCCCCTTGAGTAAATAAACGGATAATCTGTCTATATTGAAGAATTCCGAAGATGGTTATGCCAAACGAGACGTTGACTCAATTTTCCGATGTCCTGCGGTAGAGTCCACGTTGTGTTTTTCGAATGATTGGATGGGATTAATTTCTCGATTGGCGTGTACCAAGCTGTTGTTTTTTATGGATTCCCTTGCAAACTTTACTTATTGACAGTTGCATTTCAGAGGATGTGAGTGATATTGAACATGAAGTTCACGTTGTCTCAAGAAATCTTGGAGGTCTGTCAAAACCACTCTCTTATTGTAAGTTGGATTCTCATACCTTTATTTTGTTTTGTTCAGATATTCCTGAAGGAAGCAAAGCATCGAACTGTTGAAGCAGTCTTGTTCGGGAGTCCAATAGTACGTGAAAAAGAAAATGGCGAAGATCAATCCATCGTATCAACTTGGGCGTGGGCAGTTTCTGGCGTTTCCCAAGGGACGGACTCTCCTACGGAATGCTATGATTTTGGAGACTTCTGGAGTGCACCGAAGCTCGACAACTTGCAGAATGCATTCAAAAACGTGACTCGAGCTCTGCCTGGTGGCTGGGTTGTGACCGGATTCATCGTCAGTCCTGAATATGACGCCCTGCAACGCTCCTTGGAGTTCAGAGATGCGTGCAAGGAATGGAATCCACACTGCCAAATTAAGGTAAAGTAATAATGTTCTTTTGAATGGTTGGTTCATGTTAAATACTCGTTTTGCCTTTTTAAATGTTGAATAAATTAGTTAAATTTTTGCTAATGGATGGTTGAAGTGGTTGATTTTGTCAGTGAATTTTCGATTTTCGTCGTCATGATTTAAATGGGAAATATCAGTTGCATATCTCTGTGAAATGCATCAAGCTACTAATGTTCCGCTTGTTGTGAAGAAGAAATCATTGTCATTAGGCTGTGTCGGTGAGCTTTTCTGTCTCTTTTCGTTGAAAAGTTTTTGTATGCATATATTCTTCATTCCGTTTAAATCCTACCAAATTTCCCCATTACACTGGATAATTTTCCAGCTATGTTGAAAGTTATTTGGCAGAAAAATTACATTTTCAAATTTATGCAATGTGCTATACTGTGCTTCAGATTTTTAAATGAAAACAAAATGTGAATCCAACTTCTGCAGCATTTTCAAGTAATATTCTTTGGAAAGATGTTTTTTTTCAACGAAGGAATGTACAGTATTGTTTATTTTTAGCTCATTGCCAGCATTTTTCCGTTTTGTTTTGCCATTCAAAAATGTATTCAATCACAATATTTCTTCAACGAAAGGTGAGATGATTTCCTTTTCTACATTTCAGTGTTCAGTATCAGCACAGTACAGTATAATTATAAACATTGAAGAAGAATTGGGTTAAGAGTGCAAAACCAATGCCAAAAAGCATTTTGTTTTGTCATAAATATTGGCGAATCGCATTTTGCATCATATCGAGGCTTTCAATGCGTGAGAGATTCGTTTAGTTTGAAATTTTGGCGGTTGTCAAGGAAAGGGAGTTGTTGAAGGGTCTTGACGGAGTTTGAGTTTAATTACCATTCGCAATTCGTCATCCAAAGTCTGCTTTCTAGAATATTTTTCCTTGACAGTAAACGGCGAAAAATGCGTTCCTTGATTTTTATTCAATGCTTTTTTCATGCGTCCCGCTTTTGATTAGTAATACAGTATTTCAAACTTTTTTTCACACCTGCACAGCAAATTCACTTTTGCTTGCTTACCAGAAACTGAAAATTAAAATGCATATTTTCTCAAGCTGAGCAATTTTTTTACCTACTACTATGCTGTACAAAAAAATGATTCAATCAAAATTGGTTCTAACTTTTTCTGTATGAATATTTTTTCTGAACATGCTGAATAATATCGTTCATTATAAAGTTCAATGCATTGAATATTGACCATATATTTGTACTTGCGTATTTTTTTTTTCAGTGCCAGTTGGTGCTGCAGTCCATGGCACCCAGCGAAGACGGGGGTACGCCTGAGTACCTATCCTTCTGCTTGGATGGAGAGTCAAATCTGGAACCTTGCGACAGTTCGAAGACTCCCCTTGTTATCCAGCCGATCGCTGAAACTATGATGGAACTGAAATTGTTCAGGATACGTGGCAGACTACCGTTGAGTTATCACGTGTCTGATGGAACAACGACACTGTGGGAAGAAGCTGAATATCTTCGAAATCGAATTCTGTCGAACTCAACTGCGTTTGTCGTTGATCATTGTCCGTCAATTGTGATCAAGTCTTCGATTCGGGAAAGTGCAGAGCAGTTGGATGATACTAAAGTGCGGGGCATATGGAAGGAGATATTGAAGGCTCGTGAAGAGAAGGATGAGCTTGTTGCGAAGCATCAAGAAGGAAACTTTGACGTGAGTTCATTTTCTAAGCATGTTTGGGTTTGTTTGAGTGACCACTATGTACATTAAAAAAGAGTTTGAATTGATTAATCAACGAAGAGAATCGCGCGTGGGGAATATATTTTGGTTCTAGCGTGTTATTCATCGCACTCTCGTTCTTCTTGATCTGGGGCTTGCAAATCTTGGTATATTTTTACTCTGAAAAGCCCGATTTTCATTTCATGTTTCATGGAAGAACTTCTTGTTGCCAGGTAAATATATCAGAAAAAGAAGCTGATTCTTCCGAATTATATTCTCATGAATCATAAATATAGCTCTCTTACACTGTTTGGATGTTCGGCACGAAGCTGTATGTTTTCAGGATCGAACTACGCTTAGATGCAGCCATGAGTCGAGGGACTAGCTCAATTTTCAGCATTAGCACATGAGACAAGAAAAAATAGATATATTCTGGCTCTTATCTCTTAAAAATGTGTTCTGAAGACAATTTCTCAGACGTCGGCGTTCCAAATTGAAACACTTGCTTTTTTAACTTGCAGTGCACGCTTGATTTATCTTTGGTACAAAATGTGGGAGAGGACGCCACGTATAATGAAAATGTTCTTCATGCCCCGTCGATAAAGCAAGAAGTTGGTGAGGAGTCTTTTCTTCTTCATTTTACACTACTCCTATTAATATTTTTTTCATGAATGTAGGAGTTAAAAACGGGGTCTCATTGCATATCGAAGTTGATTGTTTGGCGATAATCCCCCTGGATACGTTGTGCATGATGCTTCCGCCGATACTTCGACATTCCATCGCTCACCAGCTGAAACGTGCCGTCTTTTGGCTGGGTAAAGCAGCGAAGTCAAGTGGAATTGAGTTTAAACAGATCCAAAAACTGAAAACTGTGCATGTGATCGCTGGTTCATTGAACTTCCCGGTAACCCTCATGTTCCCTATAGGGGTTGAAGAAAACCATCCAGGTGAGTGCGTTGCAACTTCAGAAATTAAAATTGAACTGGACGCCAGTATAACATTTAATTTGTCAACTGCAGTACCGTAATTGAATCTTGAGTCCAAATTTTGAATCTTTGCCATTATTTATTAACGAATCTGTTAGAAGAGAATAATTGTGATCTTCCATTTCTACGATAGCTCTGGTGGCTTTCAGGGAAGCTCTTCATGACGCCTTCTTGCTTCCTGCGGACCATCCGATTTTTCGTTGCGGGAACAAGCATTACTTTTTCGATGATTTGGGAGCTGTTGGTAAACTGATGAATCCGCACGCTGGCATCAGTTCTTGCGATGGTAAGTGGTATAGTACGTTCAATTTCTTCAAAAGGCGTTTTCGTAGGCGTGGGAGATTCAAGTTTATTTTGGAGAAGTAGGCGTATACTGTATAAAAAAATTCTCGAATGTTCAGATGAAAGTACATTTTCATCTGAACTATGAAAAAAGATGTAGGGATGCATTGCATTCAGAATTTCTCCACCATTTTTTTTTTTAATTCCAAGAAAATCTGTATGAGCTTGAACTACATCATGAGCGTCATTTTAGAGCGGGACGTTGCATGCGTGCACGGGAGATACTTTTACTATCATTATATGCAAGATAAGGTGAATGATGATGGTTGGGGATGTGCGTATAGAAGTCTGCAGACATTGGCATCCTGGATAAGGTGAGCCGTTTTTTCTTCATGTGCTGAACTCATCGAGTAGCTTGTTCAAGCCATTTTTATCCTGGCTTTTTGACTGTCGGAGACCTTTTTTGTATATAAAACATCTTATTTTTGGTATTTTAAAGTGGCGTTCTACGGGAAAAACGGAAGATAATTTAGTTTTCAAGAGACCACCTTGGACTTCGCGAGGTCCAAAAATACACAAATTTTCAATCTCTGATTCTTTCCTTCACAATACAGTCTTTTAGTACGTGTCTTCTTTTTTCGAACTTGAAATAATGCCGCATGGTTATACCTAATTAAAAAACGCAGGATTTAGGTGAACAAAAGAATCGCGCGAGGGTCGATAGATTCGTTTTTATTATTTGACTTTCCTTCGACTAGTTCAACTTGTTGTCAGCCCCATAGCTTCATGATAAATGTCTGCGGAGACTTTTTTTAATTTGCCTGTACCGAAGATACTAGTTCAGTTTTATGATGATTATTTTATACTTATGATGATTATTGGTTGATCGTTGTTTCTCTCACTTCGGAATTCAGCTCTGTAATTGCGAGTATTGCGATGTCTTTTGTCGAACAGGATGGAAGGATATTCAACCAAAGAAGTTCCAACGATCCGAGATATTCAGCAATGTTTGGTCGACATCGGCGACAAGCCACCGAAATTTGTTGGATCTAGAATGTGGATCGGATCAACGGAAGTAGGATTCGTGTTGGAGAAATGGTTCGGTATAACGCATAAAATATCGCACGTCAGTTCCGGAGCAGACATGATAAGCAAGGCCAGGGAATTGAAACGTCACTTTGAAACGCAGGGCTCTCCTGTCATGATCGGTTAGCAAAATTTTGTGAATATTGTTTTCTATCTTCATTTCATTATTGATCATCAGTATAATTGCGATTTTATTGAAATGGTAGGTGGAGGTGACCTTGCTCACACTATCCTGGGAGTGCAATTCAACGAAGACACGGGAGATGTACGTTTCTTGATACTTGATCCACATTACACCGGTGATGAAAACTTGAAGCTGATCCAATCGAAGGGTTGGTGTGGCTGGAAAAATCCCTCGTTCTGGAAGGAAAGTGTTTTTTACAATATGTGCTTGCCCCAAAGGCCTCAAGACTGTGTCTAAAACAAGAGTCTGTTTTAATTTTGGTGTGTGGAGTTGAGTTCGCGGTGTTCGATGAACGTCTGAGTTCGGAAAGCGCGAGCGTATATTTTACTTCACGTGGACTATATTGGGGAGGGTTCCCTCTGTCTTGGCGTTGATGCTGAAGCTTGTGGGAAGCGGAGAAATTGAAGTGATCCTCTTACGCGGTACTTATCGCAGTCATTTGATCGTTGCTTACAGTTCACTCGTGTACCAGCTGTAAATTCTCGCCTCGTTATGTGCCAGTAATTTTTTTAAAGTAGTTCCTTTAATGAGCAGTAGATTGAAAGACTTCAGCCGCGAAAACGATGCACAGTAATGTGTGGCGGTTTATCGTCAATCGTGAGTCGATTCGTGTTCGAAATTCCATGGTGAAGAAGTACAGTAATTCATTGAGGGCTAATAAGCTGATGGTGTACATGGAGCTCTTTGGTATTGCTCGAGGCCTTTCTGTGATGGCCGCGCACTCGTCCTCTGTACTGCGTTATTTACACAACGTGCAATTCTTTCTTGGAGTCGGAAATATGCTATTCTTGATAATGTCGGAAATATGCTTTCCATATTTTCGTCGTCCATCCTTAGATGGCGTGAAAGTCTACCATTTTCAGTTTTTAGATATAGCTTATGCATGGCATTTCGAACTTCTGGCTGGTACGAGAAGCTTGAAGCATCGAGGGTATGGACCGGCGCGTATTTCTCCGTCGGAGAGTTTGGAACGCATGCAATTTTGAGCATCAAAATTCGTCTTCTAGGATGTGGAAACAGAATTGAAGGGTTTTTACGTGCTCGATAATTTCCGCGTTTTGGAAATGAACGATAAGGGTGAAGGAAATATTGCCGAAAGCGCGGAAGATGGGGAAGAATCTGATGATGGTGAGACTGTGGAAGAAAGTCCATGCGGCCGCTGGCTCAAGCGGCGAGAGGAGGTACGTGTTCATTTGAAGTGTTTTTTGTTGTTGCTGACAAGTACTTCAGTAGTCCAAGTATTTAGACCTTGTGTCTCATAACGAGCTTAGAGTAATGAAGCGGAGAAGACTTCTTGGTCTTTAAAATTTCTTTTTGTGCGACAATTCATGCGTAGTCGTGAAGCCGAGGTTTAAATGTATTCATTTTTTTAACAGGTTCATCAACGCAACGTTCCAGGCATAGATAATGCATTTCTCGCGATGGATTCCGAAGACGGAGTGGAAGTTGTGTGGAATGAAATATTGTTCGACGAACTCATTGAAATGGAAAATCAGGAGGCCAAACTGAGAAGAATATTTGACAACTTGATAGAGCTAGAACATCCGAACATCGTTAAATTCCATAAATACTGGTTGGACAAGCGTCAAGAAAGTCCTCGTGTAAGTTGCATGGAAATTTTATCAATGATGGTCGATTCATGGGGAGACTGCTTATTCATTGATGCTTGCAGGTAGTGTTCATCTCAGAATACATGCCTTCCGGCTCATTGAAGCAATTTCTGAAGCGTACGAAAAGCAATTTGAAGCGTCTTTCTTTACAATCTTGGAAACGCTGGTGTACGCAAATAACGTCTGCTCTTAGGTATGTATTCAAATTTTATCATTTTTTGGTTCCTTGAAATTGTCATTCATTGTTTTTACAGTTTCCTGCATTCTTTTTCTCCTCCCATAATTCACGGGAATTTGAACTGTGATACAATTTTCATTCAGCATAATGGACTCATCAAGATAGGGTCAGGTATGTCGTTTTTCCAGGTATCTTTAATTTGATGTGAAGGAATTTTTCATTTTATTCACTGAAGTTGCGCCTGACGCTAGCAATACATTTGTTAAAACGCGGTTGGATTTGACCAAAAATCGCCATTGCGTTCCTCCGGAATACGTCACGGAATGTGTCATGACAACTGCGGGGGATATTTACTCGTTTGGTGTTTGTGCCTTGGAAATGGCTGTGTTTGAAATCCAGAGTCAAGGAAGCATTCAGGATGATTGCCATATCGATAAAGGAGTGCTCGATGCTTTGGATTCTCTCAGGGAGGAAGGAAATCCTTTACAGTTGGACTTTTTGCAACGTTGTTTACGCACTGTCCCGGGCGAAAGAATAAGTGCTCGGGAGCTGCTCTTCCATCCAATGTTGTTCGAGGTTCATCCCTTGAAGTTACTTGCAGCGCACTGTTTGGTTCATAGTTCCGGTGAGTTTTTGAAATTATTATATCTGTATTTATAACCCTGCGTCGATATTATTTTCGTCGATTGACCTAGTTCCGATGATTCTGTGAACAGATTTTTCTTCGGAATCTGTTACGGAGGTTGCAATTCAGAGCAAATACGGACAAGACCGAATTCTTGCCGAATTTAGGTGTGGAAACGGAAATGTTCAACAATTCAGGCTTTCAGACTTTCCAGTTGGGGAGAAGCTGGAAACATTCATGGAAGATGTGCAGTGAGTTCTAAACCTGTCTCATTGGAATAGAATAATCTACAGAACTTTTCGAGTGAGACATGCTGCTTATCATTTCGGTGTTCTAATGCATGGATACATCCGCTCATTTTCCAATAATATAGTCGCTGAACTTCGCGCTTGTATTTTATTTATGTTTCGAAATGAGCGATAAGTGTTGTTGGGTGGATGTTTCGATCTGAAAAAGTTTTCGTCCCCTTGATCGTGGAATACAGAGGTTTGAAATACTGTACCAGTGAAATTCTTCGTTACTTTGTTTCAGATTCGGGATATATCCGCTGACCGCATTTGCATGCGAGTTGCCGTGCTTCAGGCGGCAGTCCTCGGAGCAGATTCCATCGCCAGAAAGTGAGGGTACTATAGTTGGAGGCTGTGGCAGTACTGTTGGCGTCGGTGGTTCCGGTGCAATTATGAAGTCGGAAGGCAGTGCTGCGTTAACGAGAAATAATTCTTTCGCCTCGGACGTTTCCCCAAGTCGAGAGAAGGCGTTGGATTTCGAACTCAGAAGAGTAGTCAATATGTTATGCACCATCAAAACAAATTTAGCCGACGGTGATGCTTCGAGTAAACCTGCTTTTTCGGTAATTATATTTGCAACCCCTGTGTATGAAAAAGGTGCATGAACCACCTTGGTTATACAGTTATATCCTCATGACTTCCGTAAAATTACTTGATTTCCCACTCAAATTATATCTGGAACTTGAGCTTTCAATTTGAAAAAAATTGGTCTCAACTTCACAGCTGAGCATCCTGCTACGAATGGAAGACAAAATGAATAGGCAACTGATGTGTGATCTGAAGGAAGATGACACAGCTGAGTCGCTTGCTTCGGATCTGGTCCGTCATAGTCTCGTTTGCAGAGTGAGTACTATCGCTTGAATATTTTCGTCGATTCGGTTGAGCCTAGTTAATTATATCCTTCATTGAACATTTCTTGGGGCCGAGACAGTTGAGCGCATGACTGCCTAAGAAAAGTAATTTTGTAGTGTCCTAGTTTCCGATTTTTTGAAGACTTTAAGTTCAATTTTCCGTGTTCATTTTATCCTTCGTTCAGGAAAGTTTTAAACTATTGTATTTTGGATTATGATTGTCTTCGCTGTTCTGGGGATACACATATTTTGTCGCCGTGTAGCTTCGGTCTGCGGGTCATTCGACCAGTTTCTTGGAGTGAAATTTTCCTCTCACTTTCCGTCATGGACTAAAGATTGCACTCCTTTTTTTTTCTCGCTTATTACAGTACTGCAACTCAATTATTGTGGCAATTTTCAGTTTTCGTTAAACCAACAATCTCTCGATTCTTATTATGAAGCAAATTACTGTAACTTTTCCGTCGGTGAGAACCTGTTGATGAAAAGTTACAGGCCGAATACGATTCCCGTTTTCGTTTATTTATTGCCCGAATGTATCTCCCGCAGTTTATATATTTTTTTCAAGACCCATTCAGTTGTTTTTCCCATGAAATGGTCCATAATTTTCTGTAGGGCGCAAAGCGGCGTTTCAACTTTCGAAAATCCTTTTTTGTTTGAAGGACGACGAGCCGGTGTTGAGAGGATTGATAGCAGAAATGATGGAAACGTTGGCATCTGGTTGCAGCAGCAGTGCTTCGGCAATCCTGGACCGTACGGATATTCCAATCTCATTCTTTGAGAGTGGATTAATGAAAGACATTCTTGTTCCGATCGGACCAAGTGGCCCTGATTGCCAGGCGTCGAGAATGAACTCCGCGAATTCACCTGGTCGTCTTCTCATGGCCGCGTCAGAACATTCGAGCAATTGATATTTGTGCGGCGATCCCCGTACCAGAGTTTAGGAATTATTTTTGTACAATCTTTTCGCTGTTATCGCTTGAAATTTTTCCTAGTCGAAAGTTTTTTGCGAAACTCTTAGATGGATAATACGTGGAAATGTTCTTTCTTAGGACCCATGATGCTTCAGTGAAATCGAGTCTATCACCCTTGTATAAAGTTGTCATGAATCATGCGATCTTTCGAAGCCATCGTGTAGCTCAGTGTTTTCCTTTGATAGTTGAGAGGTTTATCGCTGCGGCAGCATCATTTCAAACGAATAATAAAACTTATATTATGGAAGACTATCTGACGAAAGGGTTTGACTCGCGACGAATAAATGTAGGGATTTCATCGAAGTATTATCAAAGTAACTATTTTCAGGATTTCAGAAACGCTCGGCAGAAATTTCCGAAAGCTTAAATCTTATTGCAATGTGGAATTTTTTTATGGTTAATTGGCACTTGGAACCCTGCCTTCCATCAAGTAAATTCTGGGCATTTTTTGTTTTATTCTAAGTCAAACTTCCTTTTTTCTGAACTGGAAAAGTAAAAAGAAAAGGTTACCAGTGCTTATTCTGATGGAAATTTGTTTTTATGACGGTTGTGTAAAGAAGCTGTGGAACTTCCTGGTGAATGCCTGCCTATTCATGGAAAATGATCAATATGTTCAATTGCTTGCCAATGTACATTATTGCTTGATTAATTGGCTTCCTATGTGAGTGAATTCAATTAAAAGGTTTGCCAAAGAACTTCTAATGTTTCAAATCACTGTCACGGGGGTGGGAAGGTAGCTTTGACTTCTATTCGATAAGTTGAGTTAAGCAGGACTCGTCGTGCGCGGAACGGGTGATCTGTAAAATCCAACTTAACTGAACTGTTAACTGAAATCCAACTCTGGCGTTTGTCACTTTCTTGTTGTACTGTAGTTTTACCCTGCAATTGTTGGTCCAAATTCTGTGATGAAATTTTCTTTTCGAAGGTGAAGTTAATTATGAATTTCAAGATAGGATATTTCAGTTGTTCGTGTTATTGGGAAGTTTTCTTGAATAAAATCTTTCAAGAAATCTAGAATTACAGTGAACCAGGTGTCTTTATTTTTTAAGACGACATGGAGGCGAATTTTATAAATTGTATGCCAACAGTCCTGCACGCATTCCAGCTGGAAATTTTTGAATTTTGAACTCAGTATTTTAACTAGCTTTTGAATTTTTTGAGTCGGCTGAAGAAAATGACGTTGATCGGGGACTACCTTACTGAATGTCAGAAAAAGTTCGGCGCTGCGAATTATGACAACCGTTTCCATTTTGTGAATTTCATGCAAAATTACTGGCTTAGACATGATCTGATGTTGGATGATTACCTTTTCGCTTCTGCAACTCTCCCCGAAAATGGCTTGAGAGAATTTCGTCAAAGCTTTGAATACTTCCTAACAACATTTGTGATTCAGTATTGTATGCTAAATGAAAATGCCACTTTTGCATCACCCCGAATTACCTGCGCGAAAATTTGATTCACAATTGCAGTTGGCTTACCGGATCGCGAGTTCAGCCAGGTTTACAACTGCATTACATTTTTTGAGTACTATACTGTACTTGATAAAATGAACATTGTATTGAAATTCAAGGGACCAGTTTTGTAAATCAGGAAGACATGCGTTTTGAGACAAATCATGTGAAGTGTAATGATTTCCAGTGGGATGAAGTAAGGAATTTTTCACGTAGGAAGCAGGTACAGTGCAGTATAACTGAAGTACGAGGGTTCTAACAAAAGTTCTCAAAATGAAAATGGCGTCTAATCGAGCTGAAAAAAAATCATCCTCCGGGGAAAACATGTTCATTGGCACACACAAAAAATCAGCCCTGCTAGACCTTTTTTTTTATGTTTTGCAAAATTCAACCTGGCCGAGTTTTGCTATCCACTCAGAAGATGAGGCGCCCTTCCTGCAGTTGTTTTTTTTTTAGACCAGCTTTTCCCTCAGAATTCTTGAAATCAGTGTGGCATTAGTTCCAAGGGTTGCCTCCAGATCTTACAAGGTAATTCCGCCATTTTCATCAACTGTCATGCTCTTATATACATCCTCCTTTTCCAAGTGTTAATCTCACAACTATCCATCTTTGCTGTGGATATGCGATTTCTTCCGACAAATCACGACGGATTTTCTGATGTACGGAAATGGATACGAACAGGATAAATATATATTAATTCTCGCCACGCACAATTTGTTCCCCAGCTTTTTACTATTACTGTATAGCGTCTTTCATGGAGTTTATGAAGACTGAAGAAACTTCTGTCAAGATTTTTCTGTGTTTAACTGGAACAGTCCCTGAGTCTTATCGCCCTGAAATTTTGATTCCAACCAATGGTGATGTGCGAAATTTATTTGGTGGCAACGGACGCCGCTGCAAAAGGGAGGAAGACGTTGACTGGTAATTTGATGGGCGCATCTGGGGATGTGCAGAAAAAAAGGGACAAAGAAAGAGAAAAATTTGTGCCCCGGAACCGGGGCAATACAAGCTGATGACTAAATTGCCAAAAAATCCTGAAAAGGAAAAATACAGAAAGAAAAACGGTTCCCAGAACTGGGGCAATTTGGACCGATTGTAAAATCGGCACTTTGTGCCCCGGAACCGGGGCAATACAAGCTGATGACTAAATTGCCAAAAAATCCTGAAAAGGAAAAATACAGAAAGAAAAACGGTTCCCAGAACTGGGGCAATTTGGACCGATTGTAAAATCGGCACACTCGTAAAAGAAGGGAAATGTTTCCTTCCCCAAAAAATTCTGAGCTCAGGGACAAAACGAAAACATTACCAGCTGCTGGTAAAAACAAGCAAAAACAGAACACCCGGTTGCCGGGAGAAAACCATGTACAAGAGTTTCAAAACAGCACTAAAAATCTGTTGACAACTGCCAACATCTGGCAAATTCGTTAACTTTGAAAATCCCAGCACCTGGGTGTTTTTCTAACCAAAAAATCCCGCCAAAACGGGCAGGGGGAATTGCATAAAACCCCCCGAAATTCAAGCAACACAGTCAGTCGAAAATTTTGAGTCACTGGGCGTTTTTCGCAAGCATCGAGATTTGAGATTTACGGACTTTACAAAAATCAGAATTTACCTTGTGTTGAGTGTTGTGTGAGAAAGAAAAATCCAATTCTGGAATACCTTTAAACAGCACTAAAACTCCCCTTGTCCAACTAATAAAAATACCACACCCGGCACCGGGAAAAAACATGTTCGAGAAATTTAGAAAACAGCACCAAAAGTCGTTGACAGCTGCCAACATCTGGCAGGTTCGTTGACTTCGGAAATCCCAGCACCTGGGTGTTTTTGTACCAAAAAGTGCGCGCCAAAACGGGGGCAAAGTTGCATAAAAACCCCCCAAATTTTGCGCAAACCACCAGTCGAAAATTTTGAGTCACTGGGCGTTTTTCGCAAGCATCGAGATTTGAGATTTACGGACTTTACAAAAATCAGAATTTACCTTGTGTTGAGTGTTGTGTGAGAAAGAAAAATCCAATTCTGGAATACCTTTCTGCTCTTAAAAACTTCTCTCTGACTAAAATTAAGTTCATGCGCAATTCTGTACCTTGTTTTCCATTCCACAACTGAAATATCTATTTTTGAGAGGAATTGTGACTGAGAAAAGAATAATTTTTGACCTCTGCCTATTTTTGAGAAAAGGACTTTGACCACTCTTTGAACTTTGCAAACCAATGAGATCTTAAATTCTTTTATGGACACAGTCAGCTTCAGAACGTCATCTAGTTATTTTGCGTGTGGAACTTTTAATTTTGTGGACTCTTTACAAGATTTGAAACCTCTTTTTGGACTTATACAATTTATTCATTTCTTCTGAGTGTAGTGATTGAACATTTCTTCCAAACTTTGGAATATCCTTGTGAACTTGTCTGTCAAACTTTTCCAAATTTGTTCTCAGCTTGAACACACTCCTTAGCGTCCTTATATTCTTTAAATTCTCTAAATTTGAGAAAACTATTGAATATCATAATTTCCATCTTCTGGAACTCTACCACAAAGTCTTTGAATTCAAACCAAAGGAATCTTGAGCAAACCAATTTTTCTAAGAAGACCAGTCAAACTCTGAAGGAGCTGCGGATAATTTTCGTACAAATCAAAATTCGAAAATCGCGAACTTGTCCAAAAATTCGGGAACCGTTGCAGACTTATAACATTTCGGGAATTGTGTGAACTCTTTCGAAAAACTTCGGAATCTGTGAAACTCTTGTGAAATTTACCTGAAGCGTTTTTGCAATCTTAACTTTAATTTTTAAATTCTCTAAATTTGAGAAAACTATTGAATATTATTTTTTCCATCTTCTGGAACTCTACCACAAAGTCTTTGAATTCAAACCAAAGGAATCTTGAGCAAACCAATTTTTCTAAGAAGACACAGTCAAACTTTTGAAGAGTTGTTGATAATTTTTGCGTGTTAGAAAATTCAAAAATCTTTTGAGGACTTTAGGAAAAATTCGAGAATCTCACCTCCTGAGTGTTGTGAATTTTACTTTATTCTCCAATCCTGGAAATAATCTTCTGCAATTCACCTTTAAACCTTCTTTTTCAAACTTGAAAACTTAGAAACAATTCAGTGTTGAAATCTTTCTGTACCTCTTCAAAATTTTCAGTTGAAGGAATCAGTGATTTAAAACAGAATTATTTTAAGTATTGCTCTTTTCCAATTCTGGAAAAAGAACTTAAAATTAAAAAGCTTACAAACTGTCAAAGCTCCTGGCATAAAAAATTCTTCTTTGGATTTTGTCAAAACCTTTGGGAAATCAAACATTTTTCTTGTGTGTGTCCATATTTAAGAAGGTTCGCGAATACTCCGAAATCATTCTTTCTGTTGTGGTGTGCAAAACCTGAGTCCAGTACTGGATCACTCTTGTATCTTTTGCGAAAATCGGAAGTGTTGTACAAATTGATTGTACTTACCCTGTTTGATTGAGAAAAGAAAAGGTCAGCGCTAGTGGGGAAATAGTTCCCCGGTCGGTTCGCGCACCGGCCAAGTACCGTGTTTTAATTCTACTCCTGATTAATTAGCCGACAAGGTTTATTTCAGCAAAATCAACCAATTCTTTACAGGTGTAAGGCTTGTAAAAATCCAACACTTAAAAATAAAACCTTACAAAAAGTGGTAGCAGAGCGTGGTTAGGAAATCTACGGAAATATCTTCTCACTAAGAATTTGCTGAATCTTGATTTTCAAAAGCCTTGTCTGTTAAAAAATCTTTCCAAGTGTTCAAAACCTTTGATTGATTGAGTTTCCTTTACTAAACTCTCATTTCTTGAAAGTCTTCCACTGCCGAAAAGCTAGTAATCTTTTATACTAAGAACAATTTCTTCATAAATATTTGTGAATAAAAATATGAGCATTTTGAAAGATCTTTCTTGTGTCAAACAAAATCTAATTGTGTGTCTTCTTTAAGTCTAAGTAAGATCAAAACTTGATAGACACTCTCATACTCTTGTGAATATACCTGAAAAGGTTGATTTCTTGTATTGTGACATTGTCCACGAACTTTGGTTTTGTGTTAAAAATTCCTTTTGCAAAATTCTTTGAAAGAACCCTGTGTGAAAAGTGTTTCTGAAAATAATCGTTGGAAAGTTCTGTGAGAATATTCAAAAAATCTTAAGAACACTTTCAAAAGTTTTACTTTTGAGATGAGAACTGAAAAGCCTGTTACCAGGCAGCCCACTGCCCAAAAAACTGGGGGGCAAAATCCTGAAAACAATCCAAATTTGGCTTCTTCAGAGCCAACTGGAAATTCTGAAATGCAGGAATTAAGATTGACTGCTGGGTCACCCCCAGCAATTATGCCTGCTAAACGTAAAATAAAGCCTGGGAGACCTCCAGGTACTCCTAGAAGGCTCAATGTTTCAAGGGGGGAATGTCTGGAAACAGACAAATTTGTTCCCCTCAGGCATAGAAGTGGGTTTGGAGTTCCTTTAAAAACTCAAGCATTGGTTGTTCAAGTTGACCAGTCCTGGTTGGGATCAAAATCCAAAAGTAACTACTAGGCTGCAGTCCCATCACAAATAAAACTTTTATCTGAG